CCGCATATATCGATTCGTGGAATCGATTTGAAAGTTTCGAGCACTCGTTAGTGCGAATAATAATAAATTTATATCGAGACTCGACGATAGTAGATAAATGTACACGTGTCGTTGATTAGACCGAAACTATCGTTCCTTCGAGCGTAACAATTTTGCTTATTGGTATCTCTGTTTCAAGCCACTCTTTTCGACGAGAGAACATAAAATTGGCCATTTGGTTTAATACTGTTTCTACCAAATACGTCGAATGACATTTTTATATACCATGCAATTTTTATGCTTCAATCAACTGTCATTTATACTTAGTATTAATCTACATTATTTTTAAATGTTCTTTGCAATCTCATTACATATGCAACAAAACAGATTGTTGCACGTTACTGAAGGAAAAAAAAGGACCAGGTTAAAAGTTTCTTTATCCGAATCTCCGTTACCCAAGTACTCCATCATCGGAACACTGCGTTATTTGAACGTTTTATTATACGAACATAACACGTCCTTGTAGAATATCTCACCTCCTATCGAAACATTCGTCATACTTTAGCACGAAACTGACAAAGTATTCGGATAAGTACTCCTAATTTCGACATTAACTCGATTCAACAGAGTCCATTTCATTTCTATCTTTGTCTTCAATACCGAGATTACAAATTCCATCTCTAGGTTATAAAGTGATACGTAGATGGGAAATTTTTATTCTCAAAACGCTACAGAATGCACGTAATATGCAAAAATATAAAAACCAGTACTCTAAAAAGCTTCCATTTCATTAGTTCTATTAATAAAAATATAAGCTTTGTCCTCAATACCGAAATTACAAATTCCATCTTTCGGTTATAAAGTGATACGTAGACTTGGGACTTTTATGCATTTATGGGAAATTTTTATTCTCAAAAAGCTACAGAATGCACGTAATATGCAAAAATATAAAAACCAGTACTCTAAAAAGCTTCCATTTCATTAGTTCTATTAATAAAAATATAAGCTTTGTCCTCAATACCGAAATTACAAATTCCATCTTTCGGTTATAAAGTGATACGTAGACTGGGGACTTTTATGCATTTATGGGAAATTTTTATTCTCAAAAAGCTACAGAATGCACGTAATATGCAAAAATATAAAAACCAGTACTCTAAAAAGCTTCCATTTCATTAGTTCTGTTAATAAAAATATAAGTTTTGTCCTCAATACCAAAATTACAAATTCCATCTTTCGGTTATAAAGTGATATGGGGACTTTTATGCATTTATGGGATATTTTTATTCTCAAAAAGCTACAGAATGCACTTAATATGCAAAAATATAAGAAACGAGTACTCTAAAAAGCTTCCATTTCATTAGTTCTATTAATAAAAATATAAGCTTTGTCTTCAATACCGAAATTACAAATTCCATCTTTCGGTTATAAAGTGATATGTAGACTGGGGGACTTTTATGCGTTTATGGGAAATTTTTATTCTCAAAAAGCTACAGAATGCACTTCATATGCAAAAATATAAGAAATGCGTACTCTACAAAGCTTCTAGCTAATTCTATTAATAAAATAATAAGTTTAATATGCACCCTTCTTTACAAAGTTTTCGAAATGTACAATAGTTAACCCATTAATATAAAAGGAAACTACTAGCAGAACTGTTGGACTTCGGTACGTCTATTACGGTGTTCGAATAATTTTTCTACGTAAATGATAGCGGAAGTAGCGAATCTTGGAGATTTCTGGGCACAGAAAAATGCAAAGTTACGTAACGTGATGGAGTAATTGCGAGTTTTCGACGGTCAGACACGCGTTTAAAAAGACTGCGAGACGGCGGACGCGACGGGCCTTCCGCGACACGCAGTTCCTGCGGAACTCGAAGAAAGGAAACGGGAGGGCGGAGAAGAGAATGGGAGAAATAACGGGTGCGAGAAGCAGTGCCCTCCGCCGTTCAAGGAGAACAAACCGTTATCGGAGGATGTATACCCCTTTCCAGGTGCAGGTGCCAAGCGGGAAGACCGAGAACGCGTTAATGCCAGAGATCGGCTGGAAATTCGACGACATTGTAATTTCATCCCGTACGAATCGGGCTTCGAGACACCTGTTCCGCGCGCAGATTCTCGCCGTTGCGTTGCCTGAAAAAAAATTTCCAGCCACGTTCGTCCCCCGTCGATGTGAATCTAACCCTTCGCGGTCGCGCGGAGAGATTCGGAATTAAATTAACGGATAAAAAATTGGTTATTTCAACCCCCATAATTTTCAATCGGGTTTACGTCCGCTGGGCGGTTCGACCGGAACAAGATACGAGTCCAGCTCGAACGGGAAAAACGAACCGACAGATTCCAAAATATTTATTCGCGAGCGATCGAGATTCTTTCCTGCCTCGATCGTCCTGACGCGAAACGAAAACGAGGCCAATTGGAATTTGCAGCGCGGTGGAGGGGGAGGGGGGCTGGCGAAAATATCGCGGCGCATTTTGCAACGACGACAGATTGCTTTCTCCACGTGTTATTGTTTTACGAAAACACGAACCGCGCCGCGGCGCACACGATCGCGCGCGAGCACGACGAAAGTGTATCGTTAGATGTCGAAACGACGCGATCGAAGTGGTTCCACGGTAAACGAACCGTTTCGCCAACTCATCGAACCGCGGGTTGCTTAAAAATGGCACCTCGATCGTGCAAAAATCCGTCGACGCTCGTTGAAAAGGCGGGTTTTCGTCGACGAGAGTGCGACGTCGAATCTCTCGGTTTTGCGTCGCACGAGCTTGCACACACTGGTGCTCGCGCGTACGCGAGGTACGTGTGTATGCAGGCAGGAGCACCTGGGCATCTATGCGTCATTGTGGACGATAAAAAAAAAAAAGTCGTAAGGCTGCCATAACGCAAGGAGAACGTCGACAAAACAGTGGCCCCGACTAGTAAAGCTGGTTTGTCTTTTCCCTCTTTTCTACGGTCGTTCACGGTGTTGCCCGATAGAGATCATCGACGCTCCAAAGCGTTCTTTTTCCCCCAAAATCCGGCCGCGATTTTAACGATATTTACGCAACCGCCCGGGACGACATCTTTATTCTCGCGTTTAAGTCATCCACGGCTTCGCGAGTGCTATTGTTCCGCGAACCGCGAGGAACTATTGTTTCCCTACCGTATTATACCTTCGTTACGTTTCCAATTTGCTAACTCTGCTCGACGATCGCCGAGAACGCAACGAAAGGTAAACAAAATGAATAAAAAAAAAAATCCGCGTATCCTTCTAGCGAGGACAGAATCAACGGCTTCGTAGGCGAGCGTCGAAGCCTCAAGGCTCCTGGGATCTCGCTTCCAAACTCACGTTCAAGGATCGGCTTTGTACAGAGGAATTTTTATTGGCCGCAGCGCTGCGTCTGACGCGCGCATAATATACGCGCGCAGGCGGTCGAGTGAATTTTTTTGAGAAGTCACGCGCGCGCCAGCCAGCCACACACACACACACACACAAAGAGAGAAAGAGAGAAAGAGAGAGAGAGAGAGAGGCTTTTTATTTTTTACCGTTGCTTCCCCCTCGCTTTTCCTTCTTCTTTATCCGGGCGTTCGGTATCGCGAGATCTATTTATACCTAGTCGGACGGTGTTTTCAACTTGCAGCGGCATCGTGTAACAAACGCCGCGTCCATCGTAAAAATAAGGGATCTGCACGGATACGTTGCACGTCCCGCGGCAAGAGAGGGGGAGAGGATTCGCGAAACGGGCGAAGTGACGCGGCACGTAGGGTAAAAACGACGCTGTAGGTTCCTCGGTGCGAAGGAAAAGAGGAATCGTAAAGTCGGATCGGCACCGGTGACCTTGGCGAGTAACAGGCGATTTCCTCGTACGGCTATTTTCGTCGGTTTTTCCTAATTCGACGGTGCAAATACAAGCCCGTGAAAAAACAAACGATCGCCCCGGCGCGATCGCCAGCGACCAGAGAGGCTGGGTTTAATTGAATCTCGTCGGGGCGGGAGGCGGGCGAGGGACGGGGGTTCTCTCTGTCTCTGTTTCTCCGGGGCAGCGAGAGCACGTCGGGTTTTACGAGACGCGAATTTTTGGTGAATGAACCAGGGGGGGCGAAGCGAAAAAAAAAAAGGAGAGAAGGGAAAAACGTGACGACGAGCGGGGGTGTGTGAAAGAGAGACGGACGACCGAGGGAAAAAGCGAGAGGAGGCGCGGAGCGCTTGGTACGCAGGAGCGACTAGGAAAAACCGGGCAAAAAACACGGAGAAAACGAGAGTGAACGAGGAAAGCCAGGGTCGAGCTTAACCGTACGTGGAACGTACACACGGTACTCGTAACACGCGGCCCGGAGCGATGCGCGGCGCGCGACAAAAGGATCGGAACGCTCGCTCGCTCTCACAGAGAGATTACGTCATTTCCAGCCAGCCTCTAACGTCTGGCATTACGTTCGTCTAGCGGTCGTCTAGCCGGCTCGGCGTGGCGCGGCTATCCCTGTTCGGACTAACACACTAACTATCGGGGCCGGTTACGCGTTTCTCTGCTACCTTTCGCGCGTAGCTACTCTAGCGCGACGCGTCTCGACTAGGTGCCACCAGACCAAACGCACACACCGAGATGATGCGGTGGCGCGGCGCGTCGCGGCGTGGCCGTGTGGAGGCCGTGCGTATGCGTCGCGTCGCGTCGCGCCGCGCCACGAATAAATGCACACGTAGTCGCGTCGCGTCGACAGGCGATAGCAAGCGAGATCGCGCGCGGTGTGCGTGCACGCTTAGCTAGCGCGACACCACACGACACAGCATACGACGCGGCGGCCGACACACACGTTTCGTTTCGTTTCGTTTCATCTCTCTTTCTCTCGCGGGTTGCTCTCGCCGCTGCCCGCGGGACGCAGACGATCGGTCGTTTCCTTTCTGCCACGCATATACACACGACGCGCTCTCCCGCTCCTCCTTTCTCTCTTACGGGCGTCCCGCGCGCGTACTCTCTGTCGGCGGTCTCTCGCTTTCGAAGCCGACAGAGACGGGCGGCCGAAGGCCACCGCTGTCAGCTGTGAACGTACCTTGATCGTCGAGCGCGAAGTAAAGTGTGGGGCTCCTTTGCCCGGTGTCCTTGTCGTCGGTGCTAAACCCACCGTTTGAGACTGTCGGATGCGACGACGATCGCGAGCAAGCCTTCTTTCCTTGTCCTCCGCGACTCCGGGCGGCCGGCTCCTCGTCGATTCGTCGGTCTGACCTATGCTCGCTCGACCGTCTCTCCTCCGAGCCGTCGATGAAACGCACAGAGACAGCAGACCGGGAAGCGTATGGATTTACTCGAGTTTCCTTAAGCCACGCAATCGTTTCTCGCGGTCTCGTGCGTTCCGGAGGGTCCCGAGGACTCTCGTGGGTCCATCCTCGTGAGAAACGACGCACGATGCACGAATTCTCGACGTACAAAGAACAATCGGATCCACCGAAGGTGTAACACTTCCTTCCGCGATCGCAACAATCCCTTGTTCCTTTTCCTTCGTAACCACGTTTATTCGACGCGAATGCGCGTACAGTTACGGTCACACTGTTATACCCCCGTTAGGCCTTTTCTCGCTGCTTTGCACTGCGTTTCTTCGAGCCCTCGGTTACGGGGGGGTTGTCACTCGCGCCTCCGAGGACGAAGAGGACGAAGAAGATACGCGTAAACGGAAATGGATCCTCTGCGTAACGTGGCCGGCGATGATTCCCATACGTTTCGACGGTGCTCGGCTTCACACGGTCGCTGTTCTTCCTTGTTCCGTCCTCGCGGCGACGAACAGAATCGAGGCGCGAAAAAGTAAAAAAATAAAGAAAACGACGCACGCGATACGCACTCCCGTGTGTCTTGTCTCCCGATGGCGCAGAGGACACGAACGCGAGAAACGTTATCGGCGATCGACGATCGAGGGGGGGATCGCACGATCGAAGTTTCTTGAAACGATCTAAAACGTTTGATCTCGCGTCGATGAGTAAGAAGGATCCCGCGTCAAAGTATCCGGTATTATCTTGCGGGACGACACCATCGAGCGAAGGACCAGCTCCCTGCCGCTTCTTTGGGACACACCGGGGGACTACCTAGTCGTAGAGTGATTGGGAACGCGACTGGCCAAAGCACTTGATTCGCGCGCGGTTCGGTTTGCCCGTTGCTGCGCCTCTCCCGTGCAGTTTTTTCGGCGGTCCCGTGGTATGCGTGCATGCGCGTGCATGTATGCGTGCGCCCGCCCGCGCGCTCCTCTGTGTCCGTGCGTGCGTGTCCCTCGGACTTTTTCTCTGTCTCTCCTGCCTCCACGCTCTTCCTCTCCCTCTCTCCCTCTCTCGCTCTCGTTGCTTTTACACACCACCGTGTTTCTCTCCCTGCACGCGTTTACACACCGGCTTAGCTCCCGCTCGGCCGTGTGTGTTGTCCGTCGTCGCGTCGTCCACACGGCTCAATTTCCTCCTCGTGTTGGTGCGCACGGGGCCTCCTCTACGCGCGCGTCTCTTCGCCTCCGTGTCTGCGTATTTACGCGTCCTCCGTTCGCCGCGATCGCGTATATGCGTGTCGTATACGTCTTCGTCTTCGTCTTCGTCTACGTCTACGTCTTCGTCTACGTCTTCGTCGTCGTGGTCGTGGTCGTCGTTGGTCGTCGTTGGTCGTCGTCGTCGGCGTCGTCGCGTAGTCGTCCTCCCGATCCGCTCCTCGGTTCTGCGTGCGTGCGCGGCCTGGGTAGGCAAGGGTATAGTTACCGAAATGTTAACCTCGTGGAACCACTTTTTATTGAGTGTCGCAAAATTCATAGGAACCTCGCGGAAGGAGGAGAGGGGCAACGGCCCCCGCTCTCTCGCTCTATCTCCGTCCGTCTCACGATTCTCTCCACGCTGGCGGGGTTAACGCGTGAGAGGGGCGGCAACCCCCACCTATCCTCTCGCTCCTGCCCCACGACACCCCTCCGTACGCTCGACTACCCTCCTCCTCCACGCCACCTCCTCCTCCTCCTCCGCCACCTCCTTCTCCTCCTCCTGCTACGAGCAGCCTGGTCCTCGCCAATTCTTTGGCCCCACCACTTCCTCGCTAGTGCTCCCCCAACCCTCCCTTTTCCTCCCTCTCTCTCCCTCCCGCCCTCTCCCCGTCCTGCCATCCTCCACGGCCGTCCCGCTCCTCGTTCCTTCCCCTCGACCGTCTCTGCTATCCACGGTTCGTCTGCCCTCCCGCTCTGCCACCTCGTCACTGCGTTTCTCTCTTCGTCACCCCACACCCCGAACCTCGACCCCTGGCCCTCCTTTCTACGTCTCCTTCTCGCAACCGCCTTTCGCGTGCTCTTCCCTCTGTACTCGCTCCACGCGCTCTGCCTGCACCCTTCCTAACCCTCTCGCTGTTCCGTTCCGTTCCATTCCGTTCCGTCCTCATCCTCCCTTACCCCCTTACCCTTCGTACTCCTCGTTGCACACCCTTCTCTCTAACTTCCTTCTCTTTTCGTCCAACGTGCTCGCTCGCTCGCACCCTTCCTTCTTTCCGTGCCTCCGCGCACCACCTCAGACCGTACACCATGCCATTTAGCCGTGCATAGCCGAACTTGTGTACAGTTAGCTGCGCATCAAATAGTCGTGTCGATCTTCCTGCCGGCCGGCCGGCCGGCGACTCGTGGATCTCGCGATGCCCGACGATCCACGATCTATCTTCCTTCCTATCCTTTTTGATCCTTCTTAAAAATACTTTTCAGATTCTCAGCCAAACCAAATAGCAACTTCCTAAAATCAATTAGTCAATGTGGAACAAACAACAAGTGTAACGCCCAACACTTTCTCCAAACACAGAAGACATTGTCGCGTCGAATCGGACAAGCGTTTCCGCCGATCGATCATTTTCACAGACGCGTATTATTCGTTTGTAATTTCGCTGCATCTGTGTAAACGAGTTGCAAGGTGCTTGCCATTGCCTGGCTCCGCGTGCGTGTCTCCAGATTAGACTAGAATCGCGTCCTTCGTCGAGTCGATCGTTCGTGGTCGACGATTCGCGATCTAATTGCGCTATTGATCGTAAGAACGCGACGAAGTATTCGATATTTCGTACGCCTTGGAATTACGCGGGTTCCGATTATCTGCCACGAGGACGCGCGAGCGTCAAACGGTTCCAAGAAAACTGTACTAAACCAGATCGACGTCGACCTCGATTACAAGCTCGTTTACAGATACAGCGAGGTCAACGAAGATAGCTGCTTTTAAAATACTAATGCAACGATCGAGTCGCGGGTCGATCGACAAAAATTAACCGCGAAACCGAGTTCCTGCATCTTCGCGCAACGTTGTCGACAAATACACCGAGAATGCGGAAAATATCCGAAAAAAAAACCAGGAAGTAACCATCCTTGTTTTCTCGAGAACATAAGAACGATTAATGAATAATTAAATTTGTATTAGCAGCGAAACATTGTATACCTGAAATTTTAAGGATAAACATTTGTTTATCTTGCACTCGATTTTCTTCAGATAAGAGTTTCGAGAGCGAGCGAGAAACAATGCGAAGATAAGTTAATGACATAACGGAAGGCAGGAATCGTGACATTACGCGAGACAGTATTACACCGTGTAATTATTCTTATCGGATTGGTTACCAGGGGACTCGCAACAACGTTGATCCTCGTTTAGCCGCCAACCATCGTGGTTCGAGCGTGTTTGCGTTCCGAGGCTGAGAAGCTCACGGGAGCACGCGTCGTATTTTCGCAAACCCGAATGAAGACGTTCCCTAATGTCGTGGTCTCTTTGTCCTCCGGAGCGTCGACGGAATCGCTGGCAGGTGTTCCACGCGAGCCCACCGACTATCTCGAGTTTCGTTTATGTGTCGATCCGCCTTCGAACGCCGCGTCCAGTCGAGTCCCAGGGCCAATTAATATCTTGCGGGTCATTAGCGAACTCCCGTTCGTTCGCCCTTAATTGACCGTCTTCTTCGATCAGCCCGTACTTTGCTGCGAGCACGTACTTGCGAATCTAATTGGCGGGTAAGACGCGTTCGACCGACTCGAGGTCGGGTGTTACGTGTACACCCGTTCGCGAAAAGTGCCTTCCCTTTTTCGTCGTATCGCCGCCTCGCATCGACCATCCACGCTGTCGTTCATAAACTCTTCGACAACCGACATCTTCTTGTCCCGTGAATAGCTAATCTGATCGTTTCACCTCGACCCTTACTTCACTATTTTATTACATTTACTCGAGACATTTTAATATAAATATGCAAAGTAAACACTCGCTTCCTATCTTCCCATGTTTATATAACCACGTGTAACCAAATCATTTTTTTTATTTTAACTTTATAGTCCGGATTAGGTTGGGGTTTTTATTGGTACATTTTTATCGCGGCAACGATTTAACGATTTACCGACGGTGCGCTTTCGCGTGGACTCTGGTAGATTACGACACTTTCTTGCATCACCTGCGTGCATCGACAGCATTGAATCTTTCGAGCTCGTTACGCCGTCGATCGGCGTTTTCCGCGTATCGAAGACGTCGAGGAATGCGGTGATTCGTCGGTGCTCGCGTACATGCGACCTGAAAAAGAATACGGCGCGTCGTCGATAAAAAGTTACCTCTGCATCGGGTAGATATGTATGCCATTTCTAAAAATACCATTTCTGAAATAGCGTTTTCGCGCGCGTGCACGCAAGTACACGCACGCAGGAATCGCGCGGCGCGGACCCCGGTATATATTTCGTGTCGCAGAACAATCGACGTGGTTCGCGAGCTCGCGCGAATTTATCGCGACGACGCGCATAATGCATCGACCGATCCGAAGGAACAACAATCTACGCGCGAACCTTCGGCAAAGCCAGCCATTTCCTAACTACCGAACACGCCGAGTCATCGAATTATTCCCACTACGAAACGGATATTTCGGTAAGAAAACGTTCGTTCTTTCTGCAGACCTAGTTTCCTCGTACGCGTTTGCTAAATTGCAAATTGTTTCGACAATTTGAAACGTTGCAAATTTTTCGTCGAACGCGAATTTTCAGTGACGAAACACTGTGACCGATTATAGACGATAATTATCAAACGCAACATATGGAATATCGATCACTGTCTTCGCTTAAAACATTTTTAAACAACCGTCGATGGTACAGGGATAGATTTCGACTAAACTAAAATGATTTTCCAAGAGAATAATTTTATTAGTCAATCGCCACACAGTGCATCGTCGAAATGTGCACGTCTAGCGTTTAGTTCGCAGTAGGATTTCGTCAGGTCTGTTGCGTTATCGCGAGAAACTGTCGTCGAAGTACGTACACGGTGAGTCAGAGAATTATTGGCACAGATATTGTATGTTTGAAAAATAAAGCAAACGACATCGCGAATCGAAATGTTTGAATTACCCATTGCTTTAAACGTTGCAGATTTAGGATCTTGGTTTACATCTATTTATAAAAGTCCTGCCTTTAATGGAACTCGATTTCGGTACAAAATCTATCCGATACAAATTTAATTCCCGTCTTTTCAACGATATAACGATTTTAGCGAGAGACTAACTGGGAATTGTTGGTCTCGAGATCTTCAGCTTTTTACGAAAGAGCGTCGTCGAGCTTCCCCCGTCCGAGAAACCGGCATTTCAGCCCGAGTACCGATGGATGTAATGGAACGTGTAATACAAAGTGTAATGCAAGCAATTCATACACCCGGACGTGTTACATGCAATGATCGTCGAACGTTTCGCGGCAATCCATCCTCGGCCAGTTTTTTTACTGGGAACGTACAACCATTCGCGGATCCCGTCTGGACACGTTTATTGCAA